TCTTAAAGATTGGCACCTGAGCTAACATCTGTTGCCAATCTTTTTTTTTTTCTTTTCTTCTTCTTCTCCCCAAAGCCCCCAGTACATAGTTGTATATTCTAGTTGTGAGTGCCTCTGGTTGTGCCATGTGGGACGCCACCTCAGCATGGCTTGATGAACGGTGCCATGTCTGCACTCAGGATCCGAACCGGCGAAACCCTGGGCTGCTAAAGCAGAGCACACTAACTTAACCACTTGGCCACGGGACCAGCCCCTGATGTGGTTCTTATGCACCATAAAGTTAGAGAAACAATGAAATAGCTAGTCTTGTTTGTAATTTTTAGCTATTCATTCTAATTAGAATTGTCTGTTCAAATTCTTTCAACCTATTTCATTTGGACCCGTGCTCAGTATGTCTTTTAGCTTTTCTAGGATTCCGTTCTCCTAAACCACCTTCTGAATCCAGTTCTTTTATTTTTTCTTTAAGAGATTTATAAGTGGGAAATTGCCCATAATTTCATCTAGGCATTCTTATTTCAGTTTAAAAATGGTTGTATAAGAATGATGAATGTCAAATAAAATGTTTTTCAAAATCAATGATTTCCTGAAAAGTAAAGCTTGTTAAATTTTGGAATCTATTACTGGGGAAGTTCCTCATTCATATTTAAAAAAACTTTTTATCTGTGTAAAATATTTCAAGGTAGTACTAAAGGACAGAGGGATGAACCAGATGACTTATCAATGTTCTTTCCAGTGCCAGAATTTCATTGTTTGATAAATGTTAAATTAAGAAATTTAAAAGAGGGTTTAATTTTTGGTAATTTTAATTTCAACATAAAAACCCAGTTTTTACTGTTAGCTCATAGAATTCAGTAGTATTCCCCACATCTTGTTAATAAGAAAGAAGATACTGTTGTTTTAAAAATTACTTTTTCTGTTGTGTTTTTATGTGCTGTACATTGGGTGTTAGTTATTAGTGCTGTTTTGTTTGTGTTAATATTTCATCTATATAATTTTTCATACTGTACAATTTAAATTAAATTGTTGAGTTCAAAGCTGTTATTTAAATTGTTGGACCATATGAAATTGTTATTTTTGTCAAAAATGATCAAAAACCCATAATTTCATATGGTTCAACCTAGTAAGTCTTTGAAAGCCTGAAGGTGCCCTTTTCACTGAAAACTTACTTGATTATTTGATTTGAAGGACTTAAAATGGTTTCTTTGGAAATTTTTTATGTTTCAGAATCTTAGGTTCATAGAACATGATTTGTACTTTCATTGTCTAATCTGGGTATATAGTTTTCTACAATTAAAATAAGTTAGATTCTGTCTCTAGTAAAAACAAAATAATAAATAATAAACCAGGCACTTCCAGTAAGATGATAGTGTTAGAGTTCCCTCACAGTTTCCTACCATGTCCCCCCGTAGAAACTGAATGAAGTGGTTCAAAGAAAAGCAAAATAAGAATTTTGCTACTAATGCTGAAAATAGGAAATTGTCAAACATATATCACTAATTTGAAGGAGTTTTTTGTCTATTATGTTAAAGTTTGAACTAAACTTCTAGGAGCTGATACCCACTCTCCTCAAGAGAGCAGTGTAGTACTATGGGAAATATAGGTGGGGAAAATTCCAGAAGTCTCTAGTAATCCTATGTTTGGGTGAGTGATTGAGTGATGGAGGATAGACTGCAAGGAAGGGCTGTGGGAAGATCACATGTAACTCCCCTCTGCTTAGAAGAGCCAGCAGTGTTCTGTGGTATTCTTAGCAGGACTAGCTGAGGGCTTTACCACAGATAGTCTTGTCACTGACTTGGTTTTCTAGATGGAGTATAGACTTGCTCTGATGTCATGGAGAGATCCCTTTTAACACAGAAGGATGGAGTTAGAAACAAAGGACAAGTGTGAGAGAGATGGGAAGTGACCCATTTGGAGCCCTTGCAGAACTGTGGGCTTTGAACTAAGAGCAGCAATAGCATCTGGGCCTGAAAGAAAATACTTGTGACTTTATTGAGCAGTCCATGGGATCTTTTCAAAAGCATGGCGAGTTCACCTCAAAGCACAGGAGTGTTTTGGAGTTAGGGGTAAGGGTATATCTCCATGGTACTGGTTACTCTCCCTACTCCGTGAAGCTGGCCTCTGAGAAGGTGGTTTCAAAAAGTACCAAGAAAATGCATGTAGGGACAGAGACTGCCTTAGATCCATATGCTTCCCTACCGCTCAAGAGCTGTAAAAAACTCAATCTGTGTCCATCCAGTCCTCCTGCTTACTTTTTTATAAAGTTTCAAAAGAAGAAGAGTTACAAGGATAGTAAAAATAATTTCTCCATACATTTCACCTATTGTGAACATTTTGCCTCTACCATCTTTCTATCTGTAGATGTTTGTTTCTTTTCAGAACCATTTGAGAGTAAATTACAGAAACCATGCCTTTTTATCCCTAAATAATTTAATGTTTATTTGCTAAGAACAAGGAATACTCTTGCATTATCACAATATAAGTGTCAAATTTAGGAAGTTTAACATTGGCACAGTGTTGTCTACTTTATAGCCTATGTTCTTTTATTTTTTTCCGGGAATGTTCTTTATAGCATCTATGTGTTCTGGTCCAGGATCCAACCCAGGATTGTGCTTTGCATTTAGTTGTCATATCTCCGATAGTCTCGTAGTCTGGGGTGTGCCTAAGCCTTTGTCTTTGATGACTTTGACATTTTTTACAGTACACTTTGTTTTGTACATTGTCCCTTAATTTGGATGTGTCTGATGTTTCCTTGAGATTAAATTCAGATTATGCATTTTTGGCAGAAATACCACAGAAATCAGGTGTGTCCTCTGTGCATCACATCAGGAGGCATGTGATGTCTGTTCCATTATTGCTGATGTGAACTTTGATCGCTTGTTAGGATGATATCTGCCAGGTTTCTCCACAGTAAAATTAACATTTTTCGCTTTGTAAATTAATAAGTACTTTTTGGGGAGATACTTTGAGATGATATACCTAGACTGTTCCTCGTCAAACTTTCACTGACTAGTTTTAGCCTCCATTTTTGATTCTTGCCTGAATCAGTTATTGCTGTGATAGTTGCAAAATGATGAGTTTCCAAAATTCATCAGTCCTTCTACATTTATAAGTTGGCATTCCACTGTAAGAAACACTTTTCTCTCACCTGTTAATTTTTATTTATTATTGAGATGGACTCACGGATTCTTATTCAATAGCTTATAATGCATTACCATCAGTATTTGTTTTGGTATTTAAACTGTTGGCTGAATTCACCCAGTGAGAGCCCCTCAAGTAGCTCCCTGTGTCCTTTTGACATGTCCTGTCTTTTTAAAAATAACATTTTCCTACTTGACATGAGAATGCTCCAGGTTCATCTTAAAGTTATTTGTCTGAAAAGTTCTAATTCTTTTTCGCAGCAGATGTTGAGCGCACTGTCTCACTGTCTCAACACTGTGTGTTGAATTTATTATTTAGCCTGGGGTAGAATTTATTTTTTTTTTACAAGATTGAGTCTTCCCACTTAGGATTAAGAGTTGACTTCATTTATTCTTTGTTATAGGCTTCAGAAATTTATTTATTCATCACATAAATCTTGTGTCTCTGTTATAATTGTTATAGTTTTTGTTATAGTTAGTTGTTCATAGTTTTGTGTTTGTGAATAGTATCTTTTTAACATTTCTTTTATTGTGAATTTACACTTACGGAAAAGTACCTAAACCATTAATGTATAATAATGAATTTTTTTTAACTACTGCGCAGGTCAATAAGTAGAACCTTGCTGGCACCTCAAAGCTCCCTGTGTGCCCTGTCCTAATCACAACCCCCTTCACCGTCCGTCTCTCCTAAAGCCAGCAAATTAAGGGACATGCAGCTGCTTACATTATTTAATATAGGGAAGCATGACAGTTAAGTAGGAGAGACTTTTTTTCCCTGCCACAGAATTCTTAAGAGAGAGTTACTCTGTGGGGCCTTTATATAAGGGACAAAAAACAGTTTAATTGACTGTGTTTAAGACCAGCTTTATGAAACATTGATTTATTTTCCATAAGTCTGTTTCTTATTGAGTCTGTCTTTGAATAAAGCAGAGATTATAATATTAAATAAAAAAATAGTCTTTCTAAGATTTAGTTAGTTTAGATGTCGGAATAGTAGCCTTAGATTATCTAGCTTATCAGAAGTTGAAAACGATTGTTCTCATTTCTCGTAGTTTAATGGGGTGGTGGAAATTGCTCATACTGCTCCACAGCCTCAACTACCTTTCAGCACTGCTGATCAAGATGAATGAATGGTTTCTCTTCTACTATCGCTTAGATTTTGGTGTCCGGTTCTGTCCTTGGACCTTTTCTCACTGTGCACTTTGTACCTGAGCTGTCTCACTGCCTACATTGATCCTCATAAAATCCACTTTTATTTCCCAGAGCAGGTCTTCCTGACCTGTGATCCCCCAAATTAAAATAATTGACTTTTAACTGGAGTTGTCTTATATCTACTTGTTTGAGTTTTTAGGGATCAAGTATTTGACCGAAGTCTGGCCTAGGGAAATCTTTGCAGAATATGAAGTACAGAGGAAACTTTTATCCTGTGGAAATTAATGATTATGCTATAAAATATGTTATATTCTTTATATTATTAGATATATTATCATCAGTTTCAGTGCCTCGTCTATCTTCTTCATACAAATACGGTCTTTATAGTTGTTTGTACCTTTTGAGAAATGATGTTAGTATTATGCTTTAAGTGTTAATTCTAAAATCTTTCATCTTTTTCTCCCTGTCTTTTAATTTCTGAAGTGCTAAGTAGAAATTGCTCACATTCATACAGATATTAAGAGCACTGAGTTGTGGTGGCTTTGTTATATAATTAGCCAGGGCTCTTTTATTTTCTGTTCTGTATCAGTGAATATATAAATGAATATCTGTTTCTGAAAAACGTGACTTTAAAATGTCTAATCTTATGGTTCTGTTTTGATTATTATTTTTCTTTAGAAATATACTAATAACTTTTGATTTTGCTTCTAGAAAAACTGATTGCTTATCAGCGAGAATTTCTTGCTTTGAAAGAGCGTCTTCGAATAGCTGAACATAGAATCTCACAGCGTTCTTCTGAATTAAATGCCATTGTCCAGCAGTTTCGGCGTGTAGGAGCAGAAACCAATGGGAGTAAGGATGCAGTGAATAAATTTTCAGGTACAAGGTGTATTTTTGGTTTTATAAAAAGGTTATATTTTCGGAGGGTTATGTGAAATATTTTATTTGAAAGTTGTAGAGAGTAGCTTATCAGTCAGCATTGGTTACCCTTTTGAGAAAGAAAAATCATCACACAAAACTTTCTACTAGGGTAAATTATAAAATAATTTTATTAATTACTAAATTTGATTTAAAGAGAGTAGTATTAAGTTAAATTTCAGATGTATAAATTTCATTGAGAATAGTAAAGAACCTAGCGTCTTTTAAAAACATTCAAAATGAGATTAAAATTTAACTTTGTGTTTATAGATGTTTATGTCCTGATTTGTGTGGACTTCAGTTGGACTCTGGAGAATCTTTGAGCTATTTGGAGCAATTTAGTGCTCTTAAATCTGATTTATAAGAAAAGAAATAGCATAGTTTTATAATGGGTACTTTTGAGGATCTGACCTGTTACTTCTCAGAGAACTTCTCGTCAGAAAGATGGATGCCAATCATCATCTCTCTGTTTCTCTGCTATTCTTCTTCCTTGTTTTTTTTGAGGAAGATTAGCTCTGAGCTAACATCTGTGCCCATCTTCCTCAATTTTATGTGTGGGATGCTTGCCACAGTATGGCTTGATAAACAGTGTATAGGTCTGTGCCCAGGACCTGGACCAACAAACCCTGGGCTGCTGAAGTGGAGTGTGTGAATTTAACTGCTGCACCACCAGGCTGGCCCCCAGTGCTATTCTTTTTCTGATAATTAAATTCATATGTGTATATAATCAGTTGCCTCCAAATTTGCATAATCTTTCAAGATTAATATTCATTTTTATTTAGCATTCCCTGTTCTAATCCTCTACCATTAATTACTCTCATCTTGGGACTCGCTACCTTACATTATTTTTAAAATTTCATGCTCATTACTCCCCCTGCTGATTATAAAATTTGTATTATGGCCCAGTAACATTTAAAATTATCGAATGGTATAGATAATAAAAAAATAAATCACCCATAAGTCTGCTGCCAAGTGATTTGTTAATTTTTTTGTTTCTTTCTAGTCTTTTTTCCATGCATATTTTCTTTCAAAATTATTGTGTTATAGCCTTATTTTTACTCTTGAAATGATACTATCATTTGTATAATATGTCAGCTAATCATATACCATAATGTATTAAATGTTTTTCTACAATTAGGCAAATAGGATTTTTCTGGGTGGTTTTTTTCCCCCAGTTTATAACTCTATGAAGAACATCTTCGTGTATAAATCAATTATATTTGTGTTAGTCCTTAAGTTATTTTCATTAGATAATGACTTTCTTAAAAACAAGGATCTATGTTTTGATGATTGTTGATTTCCAAACACACAGCACAGTGACTAGAACAAAATAATCAGTAAATATTTACTGAATGCATCAAAGTTAAATTCCTGAAAGGGGAATTACTGAATAGTAATAGTAATAGGACAGAAATGTTGAAGGATTTTTGATGCTGTTCTGAACAGCTGAAACATTTGTCACATTATCCCCCAAATTTTAATATTATTTAATCTGCTAATTTGATAGGTGGAAATGGGTGTCTTGTAATTTATAATTTTCTTTACTCGTGAGATAAACTTTAACTTCATGTATAACAGTCATTTGCATTTCTTTTGTGAATTTTTGTCTCTTGTCATATTTTTAATGGAGTTTTTGTATTGTTCTGTATGGAATTGTTATTGAGGATTTAAATTCTTGCTGATTTCTTATTTAAAAGGTTAGGTTCTAGTTTAATGGAATTTTAAAACAATATCGCTTATCCTACCAAGTTTTTATTTCATATTATATTAAATGATTCATTGGTTCCTGAAGAACTATTTGAAAGTTGTGATCTGTATTGAACATTCTCAACGTGTGCTGTTTAAATTATTGTGCTTGAATTAAAAAAAATCTTCCATGTGAAATTTGGTCAAATGTAATAGCATAAAAAAGTGAAAGTTATTGGTGGTCAATGTACTCATTATTACATTTTCATAAATGGGTAGCATGTTTAGAGTCTGTTCCGTAGGGCTTGAGTTCTCACACGTTATGAAGGTGAGAAATTAACATTCCACCTTCCCAAGGTACTTTGGCTGACCTTTTTGGCTTCATTCAGACTGTTACTAGCATAATGGCTTTGTGAGACTGGTTGCAAAAGTATCTTTTTCATTTTGAATGGAAGTTTCATTCACCAAAGTATGAAATTAGGAAAGAAAATTCTTCAATTCTAGTTCTCATGAAGTTTTACTGCTATATTTGGAAAATCAGCAATTTCTCTAAGTGAGGTGTTCCTGTGGATTGATTATACTTCTGTGTTTCAGATAATACCCTAAAGCTATTAAAAGAGTTAACAAGCAAAAAATCTCTTCAAGTGCCAAGTTTTTATTATCATTTGCCTCATTTGTTGCAAAATGAAGAAAGCCTTCAACCTGCTGTTCAGATTGGTAGTGGAAGAAAAGGAGGTACGTTTATTTTGTTTCTTACTGTGGTTGTACTGCTGGTCTTAATTGTGTCTTGGAGTATTATATTGACCATTGGAAGCTGGCAGTCTGAGAATAAAAATTCTTTGTCTTTGCATGTTAACTTAGGACTCATTCTAAAGTCCACATTGAAAGGAGTTGGACATTTTTCTCCATAGACCAGAGTAATAGAGCTGAAAAGGATCATGAGACATCTAGTTAAAACGCCATCTCCAGGCAAAAATGTTTAGACTTTTGTAATTTTTCTATTTAAAAAGTTTGGAAGGTAGAGGATGACTTGTCTTGGGGCTGGCCCCATGGCTGAGTGGTTAAGTTCGTGCGCTCCGCTGCAGGCGGCCCAGTGTTTCGTTGGTTCGAATCCTGGGCGCGGACATGGCACTGCTCATCAAACCACGCTGAGGCAGCATCCCACATGCCACAACTAGAAGGACCCACAACGAAGAATATACAACTAGGTACCGGGGGTCTTTGGGGAGAAAAAGGAAAAAAATAAAATCTTTAAAAAAAAAAATGTGGAAGATAGTGGATGACTTGTTTTTCCTTGTGTCTTTTTTCAACATTAATAGCTCTTATAGTCATTTTAAGAAAGTTTCTCTTGTCTGCTCCTACTTTTTCTTATAGAGATATAAGTATAGAATCACTTATGTTTAATCTTTCATGCAATAACATAAATATTTTGGTTTGCTTTTTTTCCTAATGTACCTAAAAGATGATTTAGTATTTTTTTCTCATCTTGTTAGAGCCACCAGAACCTCTTGAGTTTCCTTGTCCGAAATTTTCTTTCCTTTTTATCCCTCCATTTTGAGTTTGTTAATCTTTTCTTTGTAGATTTTAAAATATAGAGACCAAAATAGTAGTTTGCTCCTCTATAAGTCTTTAACAGATGATAAAATCATTACTTCATAGGTATTGAAATTCATCTTTGTGTTAATGTTTTTGAAAAGCTGATTTAGTCTGCTTTTGATTCAGTAGGATTCTTAGGTATTTTGCTGGGGGTTTTTTTGGTCATACTTTTGCCGTTATATTATTTGATGTATAACTTTAAGCTTTTGCATTCATGTTTTTTTAGTTCTGCCATCTTTCTATTTTATGAATCCTTTAAAATTATACACTGTCTTCCTAAGGTGATAACTCTTAAATTATCATGTTCAGACTAATGCATTCTTCCATTTCTTTATTTAAACAAGAAATATTGGGGCTGGCCCAGTGGGGTAGTGGTTAAGTTCACACATTCCACTTTGGAGGCCTAGGGTTTGCCGGTTCAGATCCTGATCGCGGACCTCCACATAGCTCATCAAGCCATGCTGTGGCAGTATCCCACACAGAAGAACTAGAAGGACTTACAACTAGGATATACAATTATGTGCTGGGGCTTTGGGGAGAAAAAAATTAAAAAAAGAAGATTGGCAATAGATGTTAGCTCAGGGTCAATCTTCAAAAAAAAATGAGATATTTATTTTTCCAGCAGGTGCTGAATGTACAAAGACTAACAAGATGTGTAGCATACTCTAAATTATTTTCTTTAGAACATTGATTTTATTACTTATTTCTGAAGTTGATATTGTAGCTCTCCCCCTTTAATAATCACTGTTTGGGTAAGATGCCGTAGCTATTTAGTGCATTTGTTGGTTTAGACTATATCTTCATTAATAAGAGTCAAATGAAAAGAAAGTAGAGGTCATTTAAAACTTAAAGGTCTCTAATGGGTTCTTTTATAGTAGCCTGTTCTTATTTTGTGAATGTGACATTCTCTCTCCTTTTTGAAGAGACTCATTCAATCCCATTTGTTTATGACTTTATCTATCATAAATATAATAACATCTTGGTCAACCAGCTTTTCAGTAGTTAACATTATTAAGCTGACACTGTTTTTGAAAGGCAGAAAAAGCAGACAGCTTGGGAAAAAAAGCCAAGAAAACCCTCAGGTTTACATTAATAATCTTCCATCCTAAATCCTTAGGCAATGGTTCTTAATATTTTTAGGGTCATGGAACCCTTTGAATATCCTAGGAATGCTGTCAGCCTTCTACTTAGAAAAATGCACATAGAAAAAGTAATTTTGTACATCCATTCTGGGATTTTGTGGAACTCTAAAACCATCTGGGGACTTTATATTAAGAACATCTGTTTTTTAGATCAGAGAAAACTACTTCTTGCTAAAAATTTTGTTCTTCAGTGGTCAGGGTAATTAACTAAGGAAGAGCACTCAGACAGCTAAACCTTCCTGAGGTTAAAAATGGAGAACAGTGCTTGAGGCAGCTACTGATCCTTAAGAGAGGCGCTGGAATACTCACCTCCGGAACAAAAATGTACCAGCCCACCCCACCCACACCTCATCCAGATCCTCCCACATAATTTAAAGAAGCTGTCTGCAGTAAATAGACACAGCAACTATAGATGGGTAGAAGGGCATCTCATACAACTAGGGTATCAAATATTTAAGAAAACCACCATCATGAATGACTTAATGCTCAAGAAAATTGAATTTGTAGAGCAAACAGAATATAATTCAAAAATAAAACATAATTAAATATGTTTAGAGAGATGAGAGAGGACAACTCCTAAGTGACTATTGCAAAAGGATCAATTAGAAATCTTTTTTATTTTAGTGATTATATTTAAAATTTCCATATAGATGGATTGAGAAGCAGAGTAGACAGCCAAAGATCAAATTAGTGATCAGGAAGACTTAGCTGTGTAGTTCTTCCAGAATGCAGCATAAAGGGCACAAAGACTTGGGGGAGACAAAAATTCTAACATCCACCTAATAGGAGTTTCAGAAGGAGAGAACAGAGAGAGTGAAGGGAGGAAATAATCAAATGAAAAATAGAAGAAAATTTCTTTAAGTTGAAGAAACACACAGGTCTTCAGATTAAGGGCCCATTCAGTGCTGAGCTGAGGAAAGACCCTGTACAGATTACCTACCAAGATGGCATCACTGATTGGTAGAGGACAGCAGGTAATTCTTTAAGTAATTCCTGATGTAAAAAAATCCATGAACGCCCTCTCTGTGCCAGGCGCTTTGTGGTTTGGTACACAAAATTAAACATGGTTCCTAGTCTTGTGGAGCTTCAGTCTTATTAAAGGCAAAAGCATTAGTCAAACAATCAATTTTATCAATAATTGTACAGTTACAGCTTTAATTAGTGATATAAAGGATGGTTTGAGAATGAATAAAAGGGGTGCTTGACTTAATTAAGAAGTTTAGGGAAGTCTTAAAAAAATACATCTGACCTGAGATCAGTAGAATGTATAGTTTACTGGTAAAGATGGGTGTATTAGTTTCCTATTGCTGCTGTAACAAATTACCACAAAGCCAGAGACTTAAGACAGTACAGATTTATCATCTTACAGTTTTGGAAGTCAGAAGTCCTAAAATCAGTGTGTCATCAGGGGTGTGCATTCTGGACATTCGAGGGGAGAGTCCATTTCCTTGCCTTTTCTGGCTTCTAGAGGCTGCCAACATTCTTTAGTTTGTGGCCCCTTCTTTCAGGCATCATTCATAGCATCTTCAAATCTCTCTCTGACTCTGACCCATTTCTGTTGACACATCTCCTTCTCTCACTCTGACTCTCCTACCTTCCTCTCATAAGGACGTTTGTGAGTATATTAGGCTTACCTAGGTAATCCAGGATAGTCTTCCTGTCTCAAGATCCTTAATCACATCTGAAAAGTCCCTTTTGCCATGTAAGGTAATATATTCACACGTTCCAGGAACTAGGGCGTGGACATCTTTGAGGGGTCATTATTCTGTCTATCACGTACGAGAAAAGAATATTTCAGAAACTGAGACAAGCACCACAAAAGCCTTGTGATGGAGGGAGCATAGAATGTTCTAGAAAATGAAAGAAAGCCACTGTAGCTGAAGTGTAGAGTGAGGGGAATCATGGAATAAGATGAGGCTAGAGCTGTGTTGGGGCAAAACAATGCAGGGCCTTTCAGTCCATTTATACGATTTGGACTTTTATCCTAAGAGCAGAAAGAGCCAATGAAGGGTTTTAAGCAGCACTTATTAAGGATGACTTTATAAGGTTTAAATATTGCAAAGATCACATTTGCTGCAATGGGAGGAATGACTGAGGATATGAGAAGAAGAGTAGACGTGAAAGGACCCGATAAGAGGGATCTTGTAGTGATCCACTTGAGAGAGGATGAGCTTGGGCTAGGTAGTAGTGATGGTAGTAGAGATGGAAAGAAGACGGATTTAAGAGTTGTATGGAATGTATGGGGACATATGTGGGAGGACACAGTGATGGACTGGTTTTGTGGACTGAGGTAGAGGGAGTGGTCAAGGATAAGTCCTAGATTTCTGGGTTATGTAACTGGGTGGATGGTAAGTGCTATTCACTGAGATAGAAGACAATGGAAAATGTTTTGCAGCATTGGTTTGCAGAAAAGGTCATAAACTGTATTTGGATATGTTAAGTTAGGAGGTGATTTTGAGATATTATAGTAGAAGAGAGGCAGTTGGATATTTAGATCTGGGGCCCAAAGGAGAGAGTTGAGTTAGATTTAATTTTATGAGTCATTGTTTATGAGTAAACTGGTTTTGAAGATATGGAAATGGATGAGGTCACCTAGGACCTAGGACTGAGCCTTGAAGGTTCTCCAGCAGTTCATTTCCAGAAAGAGAAAGAGGAAGCCAAGGAAGACAGAGACAGAGAAAATGCAACTAGACGGTAAAAGAGGAAAATATATTGTCGTAGAATATAAGGGAAGAAATGAGGAATAAGTAACTAAAAGTATAAGGAAGGGTGATAGATTAAAAATATTTGATTAGCAATGAGTATTTTAAAAAGAAATAATTTAGTTTTAATTGAAGGTAGACTGAGTAATTGAAGATTGAGAATATCAAATTGAGATTGTCCCTAAATTTTTCTTGATTTTAAAGGAAATAAATACTAGAATTTGAAAACTTCCTAGGAAAGTTGAAGAAAGCTGAAATAATAAGTTGATAGCATTGTCAAATTATAAACACCATGAGTTAGTGGCCTTACCTATCTTATGACTGTACTTTAGATTGTCTAGTACATAATAGTTGTTTTATAGATGCACGATTAATACTTGAATAGGAAATACTGACAACTAATCATTGGAACAAAGTACTTAGTTCAACCCTTTGGCTCTATTTCTCTTTGGATCCTTGGTCCATCGTGCTCCTTCTAAAAGGATACTATGGCTATATTGTTTCAGTTGTTGACATATTTCTTCTGAACTCTAACCTCTTAGAATACATACATTTTTGGGGGCCAGCCCCGTGGCCGAGTGGTTAAGTTTGGGTGCTCTGCTTTGGCGGCCCAGGGTTTCACTGGTCCGGATCCTGGGCAAGGACATGGCATCGCTCATCAGGCCATGCTGAGGCGGCATCCCACATGCCAAAACTAGAAGGACCCACAACTAAAATACGCAACTGTGTCCTGGGAGGCTTTGGGGAGAAGAAGGAAAAATTAAAAAAAATAAAGTAAAATAAAAAAAGAATACATACATTTTCTAAATTCCAAGCCATAGAAAAACATTGTATCAAACAGGACAAGCTGAGTTATGCTGTGGTAACTACAACCCCAAAATCTCAGTAGTGTAAGTAACAAAGTTTTATTTACTTATTTTTGCTCAAAGTACATGTTCATCCAGGCTAGCGGAGGGGGCTTTGTGCATCACTGATCACTTGGAGATCCTGGCTGCCAGAGCAGTCGCCATCTTGAATGTTACTGGCTGCTCTGCTGAGGAGGAAAGAGCTGTGAAGGATTTCACTCTGTAGTCGCAAGTGCTCAGCCTGGGAGTTACCCATGGGGATGACTCATTGTCTTTCCCCTCCCCCTGCTCTCCCCAGCCCTAAGGAGACTAGGAAGTGCAGTCTTACCATGCGCCCAGAAAGCAAGAAAAACTGTCTTTTTTGTGATATTTTGTGAATTACCGCAAGCATGGATACTCTAATTCTGTAAATTTAGCTGAAATTAGTACTTCCATTTTTAGTGCTTTTGGAGTCTTTGAGTGCCTTGGTTTAAACTAAAGAATTTAAATTTCAGCTCCAAAACAGTATGTTTGGGAAAAATGACTTCTTCTCTAAACATGCCATGTAAACTTAAAACAGAAATAAAACAACGTAAGACTGTGGTGGGGAATAGAGAATTTGAATTATTACTTTATACCATTTTTGTTCGTGTACTCTGGGTCAGCATGTATTTTGCTTTTTCCATAAACAAAGTCTTTGAACTCCATATGAGTTAACATTTCTTAGGAATGCTTCACATCATAGTTGTTACACTTTTAATCTGTACTCTAAATATTTAAAATATTTTTTATTTAAATTCTGAGGTAGAATATGGAAATTTGCTTCCAGGGTAGCTCATCCTGTCTCTAGGTATCTCAAAGTAGCATAGTCAAAACAGAATCTTGATTTGGAGCACTTTCCCCCTCAAATGTGTTGTTTTCATTAAAAGATCCTCCTTTAACTTACTCAAGTCATCCTCATTCCTCTCTTTGCTTGTCTCTGTGTCTTAAGCCCCATTGGTGAGAGCCTCCAAAATATATCCCAAATCCGTCCACTCATCTCGGTCTTCAAATACCCTAATTCAAACCACCATCTTTTCCTTTAATCACTGCAGTAACTTCCTCACTGATCTCCCCAAAATGCTTTTACTCTTAACACTTTTGTGTCTGTTCTTCACAAAATTTGGTAATCTTTTAAAACTACAATTTGGATGTTGTCACTCATCTGCTTACAACTGTACAATGGCATTCTCTTGCCCTCAGAATTATAACTAAATTTAAGGTTATATGTGATCTGATTCCTAACTAATTCTCTGAATCTAGGCTCATTCTGCTTTAGATGTATTCTAAATAGTTCTTGCTATTTCTTGACCATCGTAAGATCATTCTCTCTTCAGGGCCTTGCTGTTTCCTCTTCTGGAATGTTCTTCCTCTGATCTTTCTCATTATCAATTACCAGCTGAGTTGATATCAAAGAGCCCTTCCATGACTGTACTATCTGTAGAAGTCCTCTCCTTCCCTCTCCCCCTGCCTTCTAGTATTGCCACATTTTAATTTGTATAGTACATATCACCCTCTGAGATTATATTATTCATCTTTTCCCCTCTTCTAGAATGTAAGTTCCATGAAGGCAGGGATCTTGTCTATGTTGTTCACTATTATATCCCTGACACCTAGAATAATGTCTTGCGTTTAATAGATGTCCAGTGCATATGTTTGGAACAAATATAGAAAATCTCTTTTTGAACCCTTGAAAACTTTTCATCCCAAAATGAAAGAGAGGAATGTGGCATGGAACCTTGGGGAAATTCCTTAAACTATTTGGAACTTAGTTTTCTTTCTGCAGAATCATGGTGGTATGCTTGTTGATCCATGATCTTTAAGCTTCCTTCTAACTTTGGAATTCTATGAATTCTAAGTATTTTGTAGCATCTCCAACAAATTGTTACATAATTAAGACAATTGTTTTTAACATTTGCAAAATACTTCTCTACTGATATATAACACTTAGGATACTAAGACTTCTTCAAAGATGTTATTGTTAAAAACTTACTGTGAACTACAGTCCTACTGTAACACAGTATATGTGTTCCTAAAAATTACTGTGCTGTGCAAAATTGTGCAGTAAAATGAGAAGAATGTGGTTAGGATCACAACATTCAAAAATTTTGTCAGTTAAACATAAAAAAAGGTAAGAGCCTAATAAAAATGGTAGCGCAATTTTACACATTTAAATGATTGAGAATTACATAAATGCTACAATGACCTACCATGGAAACAACTTAAGGTTTGCATGTTAAAGTGGGCTTCAGAAGGGCTGCAGCTGGGGAGCTTCTGTGAAGTGGTGCAAGGAGGGTTATCTGAAATCTGGCGGAAAGTTGTAATACCAGATGTGGATAGGTGTGGTTCTTAGCATTCAGTGAACTGAGACAGCTGGTAAGTGTTGGAGGTATGTATATTTTGTGTATTTCTGCATGGCTCAGTTCAGTTTACTGAACTCAGTTCAAATGGGTGCAATTTTTTGTATTCACCTATTGAGCGTCTTAGAGGAGAAATTGCACATAAGCAAATGTGAACTCCACATTGTGCTCAAATTCTTCCCTAATATATGAATCAAAACAAGCATTATAGTACAACTCGCTGTAATTTTAGACTTCAAAAAGTTGCAAAGTTGCATGAATAGTACACACAGTTTCTGTATACCTCACCCAGTTTCCCTAAATGTTCGGATCTTATGTAATTATAGTCAGTGATCAAAACCAGGAAATTAACATTGATGTTATACTATTAACCTTAGAGCTTATTCAGATTTTGTTGTTTTTTCATCATTCTTTTTTTTGTTCCAAGATCGAACTCAGGATCCCATATTGCATTTAATTGTCGTGTCTCGTTAGTCTTCTCCAATCTGGAACAGTTCCTCATTCTTTCTTTGTCTTTCTTGGTCTTGACACTTCAGAGAGTACCACCAATTATTTTGTGGAGTATCCCCCTAATTTGGATTTCTCTGATGTTTCTTCATGGTTAGATTGAGGTTATGCGTTTTTGACCAGAAAACCACAGAAGGGATATTGTATTCTTCTCAGTGCATCGTATACATGATATGTGAAATGTTAATTTTTAAGCTGTGTTGAGTGTTTCTAAGTTTTAGTTGTATAATAAAATTTGTTTTTTATACTTTACAGTCATTCATTTTTAATGTGAGGCTTAATGTCTTTCATTTTTATCAGTTCTTTGACATTCTTTTCTTACGGATAAACCATGGGAAAAAGAATTACAGGATTATGGGTATGCTTTTATATCCTTTGATTATTTTTCTTTCTGAAATGTAGTATATTTTGATCCACCAATTATTTTTATCAATTTGAGAGGATATATATACCTTTGAAATAGTAAGTGTTTTTCTATGTTGTCTCTGTAAAATCTTTTTGTATAATTACTATCATTATTTTGTTTCAGTTTCAATAGTAATGGGAATTCCCACAGTGAAGAGAGAAGTTAAATCTTACCTCATAGAAACTCTTCATTCCCTTATTGATAATCTGTATCCTGAAGAGAAGTTGGACTGTGTTATAGTAGTCTTCATAGGAGAGGTAATTATTTAACTGTTATTTTTCACCACGTATAGTCTATAAGGGTTGGAACCGTATTTGAATATGCTTTTATAAGCATTTTTTTAAAAATGTGATGAGTAAATGTTAGGTAATATATTCCATCTGATAGTTAAATGTAAGTCTAACTTGCTACGTTTGCTTTAACTTCTTTCCTACAGTTACAATCCAGGAATAGTAACCTGTGTCAATAGGATAATATTATATACATAGATCTTTAACAACAGTGAGTCCCCATTTCTAGCTCTAGGACCTAACTTTGGAGATTTGCACTGATGTTCTTTGGGAATTTTGAAACCTGAGAAAAGTTTAGCCTAGGTTAGGATGTTATCGTCTCTTTATTCTCTCCATCCCTTCTCTGTACTCCCAAGATGCAACCGTTATTATTATAAGTCAAAGTGTATTATAAAAAGTCAAAATGTCATTTGACTGAAGAATATTATATTTCTTGTATTTTAGTCTCCTCAAAAGATCTAGGGAAAGAATAAATCTTGAGTAAGTTTTTCATAAATAATGAGGAAAAAGTGCCTTGGAGTAAACATTTCCTTAATTATTATATAGAATTTTCAGAATGTAAAAGGTTTTAGAACATCATCTGGTTCTGGCCCACTGATTCTTAACTTTTCAGTGTTTCCTGCCTCTTTTTAAGTGGAAATGCTTTTAATGTTTTCCTTAATATAAAAGTAAATGCATGTATACTGTTCAATTGTAGAAATGTATAATGAAAAATGATCTGTAATTTCTCCATATAGGTATAACTACTATTGATAACTTGAAATATATCTTAAGAAATTTTTCCTTTGGTGTACATATATATAAATGGGATTGTTCTACATATTTTTTAATATCCTAGATCTCCATGCTAAAAAAGAATAATTATCACAGCATCATTTTTTATGGCTACACAGTATTCCATTGTATGGTTTTAACATAGTTTATTTAATTTCTGATTGATAGACATTTAGACTGTTTCCAAGCTTTTGCTATTATTTTCAACACTGCGTTGAGCATTACTGTAAGTAAATTGTTGTGCCCTTGTATAGTTACTGACATAGGATCAATTCCTAAATGTGGAATTGCTGGGGTCAGGATCATAGACATTAAAATGTTCATACGTGGCCAAAATGCCCTGCAGAAGCTGAGCCGTTCCAACAGTCCCTGAGAGGGCTTGGTTCCCTGTCCCCATAATATGAGTCTTTAGATTTTTTTGCCAATTTGATGGGTAAAAAATAACACATTGCTTTTGATTAATTGGGATTTCTTTACTGAGTGGGATTAAATGTTGGTTTATATGTTTTTTGACCATTTGTATTTATAATTATTTTTATAGCCTTTGCTCATTTTTTATTTGTAAGAAATTTTTGTATGAGAGGAATTAACTGTTTGACATATTTTGCTCAGTTTGTTTTTTGTGTGAAGTTCGTTTATGATGTTTTTTGTCTTTTATAGAAATTTTACATTTTAAGTAATCAAATTTGTCACTCACCTATTATAAATCAGTAGAAATTGGTACAACCTCTTTGGGAAACAGTTTAGCAATAGCTGTTAAAATTTAAAGTTTGCTCTGTGACCCAACGTTCTGATCTAAATATTGATCCAGTAGAAACATTTGCAAGTATGGAAGTATATTCAAGCACATACACACATTTATACAGTTCCTACATGTGCATTAATAAGATGAATAGAGAAAATGGTCTTGTGGAATATACTCCAAACTATTAGAAGCAGATATCTTGAGAGTTGAGATTATGGGGAAATGCCACTTTCAATTGTACACAGTTGTGTAAAATTAGAATTGTTTTACAATGAGCATGTATTGATTTTTAACAGAAAAAAGCCTTAAAACTGTAAAATCAAAAACTACCCTGATACACTTGAAGGATAGTATTGTGTCTGTTGACAGAGATTAGTGTATGTAAAGATTCAAGACGCTCTTGCTGTAGCCATTCTTCTAATCACCAAGATGTAATAACACTGGGTTTGGAGTCAGACGACCTGTGTTCAGGGTCTGGATTCTACCACTTACTGCCACTTGGGCAGGTCATTTTTTCTTTCAGCCTCAGTTTCTTCATCTCTAAAATGAGAATAATGCTATTGAGTGTTTTGAGCTCAACATTGTTGCAGGGAGATACAGTGAGATCACATATGGAGAGGTGTTGTAAACTGAAAATGCAGTACGGGTGTCACAGTATTCTGATCTCTGAAGACTCCTCTCCTTAATTGCAGTATTTGTATATGTATCTATATAGAATTTCAAAATTTGGAAGAAAATCTATTCTGAATGGAAGAATTAATGTACACAGTTCATTTAATTGCTTTTAGAATATTTAAAATGATTAATTACTGTATTTGGTTCTACGTTGATTTGTAGTTTAACCTGCGTGTCTGGTAGCCTGGGGCTCATTAACACTAGTAATGAGCATATTCTCTGGCGTTGACCAAGATCTGCGTATGGGATGGTTCCCAGATCTAGATCTCTCACCTCTTTCTGAGCCCATATTTCCAGCTGCTTACTTGATAATGTTATTTGAATTGTTTTGTGAGCAACTCTTAATCTGTCCAGAACTAAATTAATCTGGCTTCTCCAAACTGCTTCTCTTCCAGGTTTCCAATCTGTTTATTAAAGGTTCATTACCTCAGAGTACTAATAGGTCTGTGCTCTAGTCTAATCTAGTCATTCTACTCCCAGTTCATTATGTGGACCTTGTGCATTCTCAGTTCTGTGTGTGTTATTCCTTAGCCTGAAACATTGCCTCTTCCCTTCTCTTACTCATCCTTCAGGTTCCAGCTTGTCCCTTTTTGAAACTATCCACAGTCTTCCATTTGGAATTAGTCTGAAGTAAATAGGCAAAAGTAAATCTATTTTTTGCAAGCATTTTCAGTTTTTGTAAAGGTATGAATTATCTCTGGTCCACTTTAACATGTGAGGAGAAAATTAAGAATGAAAAAGAACTGGGGAAGAATACACATAGACAATAATGGCTATTATGATCTCTTCATCCCTGTTTGGCTTTCTGTTCTTCATATTCTTTTTTTCTTGAAAGGAGGGACCATAAAATGCCCCTCGGGGAATAGAGGAGAGACAGAAAAGTAATTATTAGCTATATTTTTGTTCTTTGTTGCTCTCTGGAGATTTCTCTCTTAGGGGTCCATTGGGCATACATGATGAGACATTTACAGAACATGCAAGGTTTTGAACAGTTGATGTTGATGCATTATTTGAAAGTTCACTGACTGCATTCTGGAATTGCAGAAGGAGTTGCTCTGAAAGATCCATGATATGGTGCAAGTGTGGTGTTCAGATTTTAAGATTGTGTTGTTCTTGTGTTTGCATTGACTTAGAATTTAGTTATAACTTTTGTATTCTAATCTTTGTTGTCTGTATGCCTCTTTATTTTTTATGTTACTTATTTTATGCTATTATTTGTTATATTTCTTATTATGCCAAATTTTTATTGTTTCTATCTCTCATTATCATTTCTGACAAAACATTTTTCTACAGTGTACTCTGAATTTTAGTGAAAATAATTTTTTCTGCTCCATTCTTATATTTGGAGAATTCCCCATTTTATGAATCTTGGCAGGAGGAAGTGCCTCCCTCCCACTGTGGAAACTGAGAATGCCAGATATTTGCTCAACTAGTTCAGGTATGTGACCTGGGCTCATCTGCTTGGATACTCCTGTCCTGGACTCTGAGTGGAGCTTCATTATTTTTAGATGACACAGAAAACCCAAAAGAACAAACAGACAAATTGTTAGAAATAATAGGGGAATTTATCAAGATGACTGGATATAGGATCAGTTTATATTTCTATATGCCAGTAACAGAGAATAAGAAAATATATTTAGAAGAAATTTATTCTCTAAAGAAGCGGGGATTGTAGACTGTCCATTCTGGTGATAGACAGTTTTGGTGGCAATGGTGTCTTTCCAGGGGACACAGGGGCGGAGTCCAGAAACATCAAGGGCTGATGGTGAGGGTTTTGAAAGCTGTGGCAATGGGAGCATTCTGTGAATTTTGGTGTGGACCAGCCTTGTTTCTGCTGCTCTCTAGCCTGATTCCTCAGCTTAACTGGAGGTTCTATGAGTTCTAACCAATCATCTTTCAGTAAATTGTTTTTCTGACTATTCTGCCAGTCACTTTCTGTTGGTTGCAACTAAGATCCTGACTGATACAGCTTGTATCTTGTTCAGAAATACCTGAATTGCTATACAGGCATGCTTTGTTTTATTGCATTTCACGTCATTGTGCTTCACAGGTGTTGTGTTTTTTACAAATTGAAGGTTTGTGGTAATCCTCTGTCGAGCAAGTCTGTCAGTACCATTTTTCTAACAGCATTTCCTTACTTCGTGTCTCTGTGTCATTTTGGTGATTCTCACAAAGTTTCGAACTTTTTCCTTATTATTGTATTTGTTATGGTGACCTGTGATCAGTGGTCTTTGATGCCACTGTTTTAATTGTTTTGGGGTGCCATGAACCATGCCCATGTAAAATGGTGAACTGAATCAATAAATGTATGTCTTCTGATTGCTCCACTGACTGGCTGTTCCCCCATCTCTCTCCCTCTTCGTGGGCCTCCCTATTCCCTGAGACACAACAATATTCAAATTAGGCCAATTAATAACCCTACAGTGACTTCTTAAGTGTTCAAGTGAAAGGAAGTGTCTCATGTCTCTCACTTTAAATCAAAAGTTAGAAAAGATTAAACTTAGGAGGGCATGTCAAAAGCTGAGATAGGCTGAAAGCTACACCTCTTGTGCCAAACAGTTAGCCAAGTCATGAATGTAAAGGAAAAGTTATTGAAGGAGATTAAAAGTGCTACTTTGGTGAATGCACAAATGATAAGAAAGTGAAACAGCCTTATTGCTGATACGGAGAAAGTTTTAGTCGTCTGGATAGAAGATCAGACCAGCCACAACATTCTCTTCAGCCAAAGCCTAATCCAGAGCAGGGCCCTAACTCTTTCCAATTCTGCGAAGAC